GTCCCTGGTGTTGTCTCAGGATGGGAGGGGGAAAAGGCAGGGGAGGGAGGTCCATTATGGGGTTTTCCCAGCCTGCGCTGGAGTTGGAGGTGGGCAGTTTGAAGCCCCACAACCTCACGGGGGTATTCCAATCCACCCACCAAATGCTCTAGCACCAGCTGGGCAAACCCCAGAACAAGCTCTTTTGCCCCCTTCCCATTATGAAAACAGTGTTGGGAGCAGGTCTGGGCTACATCAGACTAACTTTGCTCCCAGTGCATGCAGACACAAGTTAATGAAGGTGCTTTGCTTTGGAGTGCCTTCATTTGAACACTCATGTAATGGGGGTTCAGATTGTCATGGGACTGGGCCCTTTTGAAGTGTTCTGCAGCCAAGCACTTAGGTTAGGTCATGGCTGTAAAGTACTTTCAGAGGCCAAATTGGGTGAAAATTGTTACTTCTGTCTGCACCCAAAATATACAACAGGGAAAAACTTCAAAAGCTCAATTTGTTTTTAAATAAAGAAAGGTGAAAGGTAACTTGACTACACTGTAACTTTACCTTCATATGGAGGAAACATCAAAAACCAAATGACTCTTGGATCTAGCAGAAGATCTAATGGTCTCTTCCAGGTTTAAAATCTATGAATCTATGAACTGGTGCTAAATCAATTCTTAGTCCAGTACAGTCTATAACAGTGGCCTCTCTCTAGCCATTGGGAGTAGCAGGAGGGATGCTTGTAGTTTCTGGTGGGTGCAGGTCTTCTGTCACAACACAACAAAAAGGCTGAAAAGTTACATTACTAAAGTCCTTAATAAACTTTTCTAGATATTTTTTCCTTACGTGTTTATCCTAATAAGCGTGCTTAATGAAGGAATTGAAAATTACACTGATCTAATAGACACAGTTTACTCTATTTATTGCTAAGGATTTGTATATATTGCTTCCCTGCCCATTTCACCCACTTTGCATGTTTCCAGGATCACAGATCTGCAGAGTATGCAACCTGAAAGGCCCTGAATGCAGTATACTCTACCAATATGCAGGTCCAAATATACAGGAAGCAGGTATGAGTGGGTGGGACTAAGGCCCCTGGCACATGCTACAATTAATGAATTGCAAATTGTACTAATCTCTTACATTTTAGTCGGACACTGTTTTGACTTTCAGAAAGACTGATAGTCAGAATCTTATGTACAGAGGATGCACTTAGGGGCATGTCTAGATGAGCGCACGTGCAGTTTGCAGCACCTCAAACCTGTTTGAGGAGCTGCAAATCACATGCAGTGAACATACAATTGTGTGCAGTGCAGTGTCACAATCTGATACCAGGATGTCCAGTATTAAAAAAAAAAAAGCCACAAAAACTGGTGCGGTTCACATAGCCGTAGCTTATGCTACCAGAAATGGAGCCTGGCCCTCCAGAGCCACACTCTGGCTGCTGGCTAGACTCTGTACAGCCGGATTGGCAGTGTTACTGCCTCAGAAGGCACCCAGGCCCTCAGGTAATGCTGCTGGGGCTAGCACAGGTGCTGACCCCAGCCTCCTCTACCCCACCCAGGACAATTTGGCACATGCCAGAGTGCACGTGCAGGGGTGTGTCTGGGGACCCAAAGCAGTGCCACAAATGAGTGCCACTGGTTTTTGTGCCCCTGGAAATGCATGCCTCTGGATGATGTGTCCAAGAAGTTCCTGCAGGTTTTGGAGGGATTTCTTTTTCTGGCAATCTCCCCCATTTTAAATACAAAGAACCAAATCTCTCTTATAACACTAGAATCTTCTAAAATGAAAGATACTTTTTAAGTTTGATCACTGGTGATTTTATTTGACCAGGGAAACAGGATCTTTTTACATGTTTAAAGTAGTTGCCTATTGTGTTCACATTATTGTGTTATTTAAGGAAATTGACAGACTTTTAATGGAGACAAACATAATAGAAAAAGATTTAGGTGAATGTTGGCCTGGTTATTTAGTTTCCATTTTAGGCCTCCTGTTAACCAGTAAATTTTCCTAGAGTAGGTTTAGCAAGAGCATGCCAATAGCTGATTCACAACAGCAGCAATTCTTCTTCTGGACCAGCAGGTAGTGCTGATGATTGGAGTAATATGCGTGCTTTGTCAAAGATCACGTAATCAGAAAGTGTTATCAGATACATTCTTATATTGAACCAATAACACAAAGATACTTGCACTGACTTTTTTGAAAAATATTGAATTCTGTATGTGCCATAGATTTTTAATCCAGTTCCTGTTGCATAAAGATTGAATTTGTTTTAATGGGCCAATAGAACTCCACTGATGCTTTCCCCAGTTACTGGCACTGCTGCTTTCTGTTGGGGTCCAATTTTCCCAGCTGCATTCATGCAACCCTGCTGATTTCAATGTTAATGCATCAGTAAGACTGAGAGCCAAGTTTAGCTTGGGGACTGGAGCCCAGTACCTGGGTGGGCATGAAGCAGCATTAAAATGACAGAATGGAAATTAAATCAGAAGGAACTTGTGCAGTGCCAGAAATCAGCTACTGGATCAGGAGGGCTAATTTTCTGCCTTTCAGAACTTTTTCAATAAACTTGAAAGATGGTAATATTTCAAATAATTCATTTTTCCACTACAGCCCATGGCTGAGCTATTTTAGTTTGGTAAATAAAGACTTAATTTTACTTAGGTATTTATTTACTTAGCCCAGGATTTTACCCTTCATTAAGAAGAAGCCAGAAATGAGAAGAAAAGATCCTTTCTGCACCTTCTCCCTTCTCATGTCATATGCTAACATTGTGGATAAACATATTTTCCCTATTATCACCCATACATATTGTGCTTATCAATCTCACCAGCACTGCATATGCCAACATGACTTGTTTGTGGCCTCATACATAAACGTTATTAAAAGGAAGTCAAGTTTCACTTGTGTGTTCTAATCTGGAAGGAATGTGGTCTTTCCAGCCAAGGTTTGAATTCTTTTTTTCTTCTGTTTATTTAATTCTTTTTCAGTGGAGGAGATATTTGTTGTTGCCCACATTGTAACTTAAGAATGGTGGTGTTTGAAATAAAGAAGGGGTGTTTAGCTATCATTTTTTATTATTGGAACCAAGGAAAAAAAACTAAAGATTTCTTTTGCTGGGAGTCCCTGGATATCATGGTTTCAGTGGCTAAGCAGTCATCATTGTATGCTATATAAAAGGCAAAAAAAAATTAGCAAAAATACAGATGGTAGCATTTAAATGAGGAAAGAGGATTTCTGATGTATATTATAAAAGTTATTTCCAGGATGTGTGTGTGCATGATGTATAGGAAGACATCTGTTAATAACTTTTTCTTTATTAATTTTTCTACCACATGATAAGGAAGAAAGAAATTTAGGTTCCCAGTTTTTGAAGCTCAAGGAAGAACTTACATGTTTCAAATTAGGCACATACTTTTGCTTCTTAGTGAATCGGGCCCTTTGGGCTGACTGTAATTTGGAAGAACAAATCTGCAAAAGAAACACAGTGGGCATGTCTACATGTGTATTTTACTGCCCAGTAGACTAATCTGCTTCATAGTAAAGCGTCCCCATTTCCGTGTGTGTAGACTAATTGGCTGAGCTGTCAGACAGTCCCATCAGACACAAGTACTATCCAATGGCACAGTAAATTACTGTGCTTAAATTCATGTGTAGACAGTAATGTCTGGATTAGTTTACTCAGGTTCAAATTGTGCCAGAGTTTATTTAGTCACATTAATTGCACATGTAGATGTGACTAGTATTTTTGTTTGTCTTAGCAGGGTGAAATTTACCCTGGATTTGGGGGTTTATAGAAAGCTTTCTAAGCAGTTGTTTTTTGTTGCCAAAGGGTGGTTGGAGAATGGGTGTACAGTAAAACATTTACCTTATATGTGTGATAGAAATAGACTGTACCCAATCAGGGCTGTAACCACTGAGTCTGCACTCACATGAACTTTCACTACTTCAGGAGTTCTTAATGCAGGGGTTGCAAACATATATTGCCCTACTCTTTCCATCTAACTAAATGAGAGGTGGCTGTGTTTAAATAGGAAGAGAGTCTTATTGTGGGCCACTTATGAAAGAGGTTTACAACTAAGTAATCTAGTCAGCTTGGAAAATGCCTTTTATATATTCACATTGGAATCCATATTTTTTGCAGATTTGGCATGGCTGTGAAACTTTACAGTAGACTCTCATTTAATGGCAGCGACATTTGTACTTATTACATCTCTCTATTGATATGAAAGAAAATCACCTCACTGAAAGCTGATCAGTCTCAGCATTACTGTGGACATGGTATGGACATAACCAAAGTTTGGATGCAGATGCAGGCACTTTAGAAGTGTTTGCATCAGGTTTCTGTTCAAGCGTGTAGTCTGTGGTATAGATAAGTGTTTTGCTTGCTATTGTAAATCTGTATATGTTTATATTTGTTTTAATTTCTGTTATATTTGTTTTATTACATAACTGTTACCATTATGGTTTACTCTGAGGTATTTTGCTATTAGTCATTTGCTCTGAGGTATTCTGCTATTTGTCATACATATTTGCCTCTCACAGCAAAGCAATCCACATATATGGTCTTATGTGATACCACATTTTTCTAGTGTGAAGCCAAGAAAAAAAATTAAAACTGATTAATCCCCAAGAAAGGTCCTACACTCTGAAGGTGTAGCCAACAAAGTGCATTTTTACATGGGCAAGCACCACAGCACTGGGTGCTTTGAACAGCACCCGGCACTGCAACACTTGCAGTAGTATAAGTGGCAAAATGCCAGTCAGCACAAAGAAAATGGTGGTGGTATGCTTTTGAACTACGACACTTCAGAGGCGCTTTAGTTCAAAAATGCCCCACTGGCATTTTCTCCACACTAACATGCATTTCGCTGCTTATACAACTGCAAGCGGCTCAGCGTGGTGCGCATCAGCTCCAATTAATCTAGTGTGCTTTGAAGGGGTGGATCTCCGGCATGTCCGAAAACTAAAAGGTATGCTTCTAAATGCCCAAAGCTGGGACACCTGAAAAATGAACTCACCCATAAAATGTGAGCCGCAGGAAACCAATCCTTTTGCCAAGTTTAACTAACTCTCCTGGTCTAGTGGCAGCTCTGGTTAACATTACAATCCCAACTTTCTTAAGGGTTGACAGCCATGTGTAGGCACTTTCATCACTGCTTAAAACATCTTCAAAAGACATCTCCGGGAATTGCAGATCTGAGCCCCAATATTCATGTTCTGAAAGACAAAAGAAATATTGAAATAAGCATTTAGCTCCTTCTGTGTTAAAGCTCAGGGCGCCTTTACAGTATTAAAGCTTCTTGTATGTTTGTCTGTTTCTGAATATGGCCCCGAGGCTACAATCAGATCTGTATGGCTAGATAGCTGAGCTTTTGATATCTAGAAGGCACAAAAAGGTGTCCTGTAGTAGTGAAATACAACACATGACTGAATAGCAAATTACATTTGAAATGATACAATTTGAAGTGGATACTGCACTGCAAAACATAAATCAGAAATGTGTATGTCTGTCCCTCCACATGTAGACTATAGAAATGAAAACTCAGATTTACTTTACTTTTTGTTTCTTTCGTGCTTTGCTAAAACTTCTATTTCTTATTTTTATTAAAGTAGGGTCTAGAGACCCCTGTCAGGATTGCTACCCCACTGCTTTAACTATGCTGTGGATCCAGACTAAAAGAGAATCCTTTCTGTGAAAAGCTCACAGCTTACATAAGGAATGCAGGAAAAATAAATGGTTTAATGTATCGTGTTATAAACAGAATAATTTAATTAAATTTGGTAAAAAAAAATCTACAAAACAAAGAAATCTCATGATTAACACATAACAGGTACAGTATCCAGTTACAGAATAGAGTGCTATACCATATGCAACCATTGAACAAACACTACCTTGCTTCCACTTCTTTTTTCCTGTGTGGAAAGTTTCAGGCAGCCCACTGAGAATGGACACAGTCTGTCCAAACTGGGCACAACAGTGGAGCAATGACTTTCTACAGATGCCAGATCTTTAAACTTATATTCCAGTCCAACAGCTTAGTAATGGTTGTTGATTTTAGTTTTAACAATATTGCTTCCTTTATCCCATAATGAGGCTTAGAGTAACCACATTTTGTTTGAATTGGGGAGTTCAGGAACAGATAAGTCTTCAAATACAGAGAGAGATATTGGTCCCATGGGAGATTTGCGTTGAAGATGAATTAAAGTAACTTCATGGACTGTGACTAGAAAGAAACACACTTTTTCTCTCTATTTTCCTTTGTTCTTTCTTTTCTTCGGACTTCTCCAAGGAAGAATGTATTCCGCTGTCAGACAATATGTTCTTAAGCTAGTTCGTAGAGTTAGAAAAAAAACAGATGTAAACTTATAGTGGGAAAAGAAAGTAAGAATTATTATTATTGTACTTGGGCAGATTTTCCACAAATATTGAAGGGAGTATGTAATTCACAGGAGACAAGGCCTTGCATAATATAAAATATCTAGGTCATCTTTACATCATGGGAAACTTTAAAAAATTGTTTTCAATTTAAGAAAATGATAGAATATCAAATGTTGGTCTGGATTGTGGTGTTTGAAACCACAACTGAGAAAATACGGTTAGATACAGAGATGCACTGCCTGTATAGCATTTCTTGTTTGCAGGGGTCAAAGGCACAAGCTGCATCTCCAGGGAGGCACAGGGAGGACATATTGAAGTGGTGATTACCATAGTATTTGAAGCATTTCCCATACTGCTGAAATCAATACAAATTTTATTATTGATTTTAACGGGTTCAGGATCAAGCACAAAAAGGAATGCAACTTGGAAATCCTATAGCACCAATCTTGGACAACTGGCCAGTCCAGATCCCGAGACACGAACAAGACTTTATACCAGTTCTGGGGTGTTTTGCCTCATTGGTACTGCTATGATTCCCTGGTGCCCTGAACTTGGCAAGAATGAAAAACTAGATTCTGGCAGCTTCTACACAGGAGTGCAGTTGTGGGTAGAAAGACTCCTTTCATCCCTTCATGTGCCCATGTGCAAGAGCAGCTAGAATCTGAACCATTATTAAGGAAAAAATATGTAAACATGGCGAGTATCCCCTTAATTCTCTTTTCTTTTATTTCCTTTTTTTCTACCTCTCCGTCTTCTTCTCCTTGATCTCTATGGTCACAAGGAACTACGTCTGAGATAGGAACCTGAATGAGAGATTTTTTCTCCTCCCAGAATTTTGAACACGGGGCTTTTTACAGTACCTGTGTTTCCAATACTTAATTTTCATCTAGAAAAACATTTTTGTTCTAATTTGCCATGTCATGGTTTTCCAGCAATGAGAGCAAATAGGAATGATACAGACCAGACATGTGAAAAAGCTGATGGACTTCCCTTAGATTTGTAGAGCCATGCTTCACACATTCCTATAACTGACCTCTCATCTTCTTCTCCTTCTTGATTTCATTTAGTCTTTTCCCAACTCAATATAGAAGTTCAATTCCTGGCATTCCAACACCATGAAGTCCAGTTTTGTTTTGTTTTTTATTACAGACAACCCTCCCATCCCTCTTCCTAGAACATGTGAGCACAGTGATTAAAAAATATAGTGCTTCTCTCACTTTGGAGTTTTTTTCAGCAGTTCTGATGTAGTATAAAATATATATATGAGTCAAGGACCAGATGTGGAACAAAATTCTGTTTCTCTTAACAGTGCAGATCCCCTGATGAGTACTGTAAAAACGTTTCCCTTTACAGGCAAATTGTACCATTTCATTGCCAACTTGAGCAAAGGACAGTACGCCATTGCACAGTAGTAGGGAAACTCCTGGAGAGATTGTGCCTTGTGGAAGCCCAGCATGGAAAGAATGGTCCAAGCTGCACTATTTTTTTTACCCTGCTCCTCCCGCACTGTAGCCAGCTCAATTTATGAACTGGTGCATGGTAAGGAATAGGCCATGGCCCCACTACTTTACTCTGTTCTTCGCATCCTGTAGGCAACTTAATTTGTGAACTGGTGTATGGTAGGGAATATACCAGTCATACTTTGTACCAACGCCTTTTGTAACTAATTTCTACATCTTTCCAACAGAACACTTCCTATGTGAAGAACTGCAAATATTATAGGCCAGGGGTTTTCAACCTTTTTTAGTCTAAGTACCCCTGGTGCCCGGAGGCTGAGTGGGAGGGGAGGGGAGTGGCACGCAGCTGGACGCTGGGTGGGAACATCGCATAGGCGGGCAGGGACGGAGCACCGCCGCCTCCCAGGAGCAGGGCTGGGGTGGGGCAGGGAAGCTCACTGGGCTGCGGTGAGGGCAGCAGCATGCCTCTGTGGGGAAGAAAAGCTCAGTGGGCTGCTGTGTGGCGGTGGCCACTGCCACATGCAAGCTTCCTCACCCTGCAGAGGGGCGCCACTACCCTCACCCTGCCCCAGCCATGCTCCTGGGAGGTGGAGGCACTCCATCCCCACCCACACGTGTACCCCCTAGGACTGGTCCAAGTACTCCCAGGGGTATGTGTACCCCCAGTTGACAACCCCTATTATAGGCCTTTGCACAGGGCATCATGCAATGAATCAGACTTATTGCACTCTTCGTCACGTCCTACTCCAAATAAGATATGTAAAGCACAGTGCCTGAGTTAGAACAGATATTTGACTTGTATAGCTGAAGAAGCATTCCCTTTCAGAGAGTGTTCAGGAAAGGAATGCAGCCAACTGATTCTTTGATATCCATGAAAGGAGACTACTGCACCTGCTGGGGGAAAACTACAAATTATTTGTGTGTTAAGAAGTAAAATTCAAAAGTAATTCTCAAAACATTCTCAAGAATTTTGTTTTGTAAGTATGTATGTATAACTCAGAGTTTTTTGGAAACAGATGACTCCTTAAACCGGTGGCAACACATAGGGGGTGCATGGGGGTGTATGTGTACCCCCTGACAGGCTGCACTTCCTGCTTAGGCAATGGGAGGGGGGGAGGAGGGGGCAGGTGAGCACCAGCCAGGGAGTGGGAGCACTGGATGTAGTGCTGCAGCCACTTCTGGGAGCCCCCTCTGTCAGCAAGATTGGACCCCCCCTCCCAGTTGCTTACTGGTCGCTGGGATGGCACATGCCCTCCCCACCCCCCGACTAAGGTGGCACCAGTTGCCCATGCCTTAAACTGATTCTAAAATAAGCATCAACATCCTTAATTACATAACCATCCACCACAAAGCAAAGAAGGAAAGATGCATGTTTTTCTATCTATCTGAATCTCTTATAATAGCATTACTTATTGTTTAAATTCCTGTAGCATATTCTGCATGCTGCCTGTGCCTACAAGAAAATGCAGACCATTTCAAAAGTGAGTGATCTTATATGACTAGCAACAGGCAGAGTGAAGGAAGAAGGTCAAATTCAAAATATAGACACTTTATACATAACTCTCTTTTATTGAAGGATGACTAGCTAGTCAATCACTTGCTTTAATCACTGTAGAAATGGGTCCTAATCAATCATTACACCTGAAATTAATGTGATTGAATATATTCCGGCTCAATTACCATCTACATGTGTGTTTAGATGCAATAATTTACTGCACTGCTGGATACCACTTGTATCTGATACGACTAGCTGGCAGTGCAGTAAATTAGTCTACTGCACCCTAATTGCTGTGCACATGTAGACAATGACACTTTATTGTGCAGCAAATTAGTTTGCTGTGCAGTAAAGCCTCTCATGTAGACATGCCCAGTGAAGAGTTAAGACTCCCTTCCTTACCCTCTTAGCATATTTGAATCTTGGGTTGGGTTATGCTCTTTGGAAACAACTTCTTATAAGAAACAGGTGTGCTGGGAAAGATGCTCTGGTTCATTTCCCTCTACTCACTACTACATAAGGGCATAAGAGAAGTGTGAGAAATTGGGTCTCAAGATCAGAGCTCCTTCCAAGGACAGAGAAGTTATAAGCTTTGTACAGAGCTCAGTTTCAATCTATCCATTCATCTGTTTGAAGACAGGGTACTGACATACTGTCTGACAACTAACTGTCTTCTGTCTAGTTTATACTGTTGCTGATTCTCATGATTCTTATTGTGACTTTTGCAACAATTGATGCTCTACTGTAAGTCCCAGCTCCTGAAGACAAATGCTTATGAGAGATTTCAGTTTTCCCTGATAAAGGAAGTTTTGGTTCTCCTAGATGTGGAGATAAGCTTGAAAATATCACTTGTGGGTACCCAAAATTAAAAAAAAAAAAAAATCCA